TGTCTGCAATGTGCCTTAATTTTTTTATGAATTTAAAATGAATTTTGTACCATTACTATTTTTCTAAATTATCTAATAAACAGTATATTCTTATTACAGAACATAGTGGGTGTAAAGAAATAACATTAGAATTACAAAAATTATTTCTGTCTAATTATGAAAAGACTAAGAAATTCGGTATATCAGTTAAGAAATGAATGTAAAAATGGCGGCGGGTGAATGGAGGTCCAATGAAGTACAGATGTTCCTAAGAAAAATTATTTGTAAAGTAAAATTCAGTTTGAAACAGGCAAATGGTAGTGTAAAGAATGCCATGCTAACTTTAGAAATGATCTACAATATATGGAACAGCAGTAATCGGTAAAAATCTACTTCTGCCATTACTATTACATGAAATAATAAACGGAAGTATACTGAGAGTATCCAGTCAATTATTAGTTATGACCTCAGATTTCTGGACTTGGAGCTTAGGGGTCTGTTTTTGCATTTCTCAGTACATTTTTTCAAAAGTTTCTGTTACAGCCCTACTACGCTTATGTTTTTGGGTCCTATTATGCCCAAAAAATATGTTGGCATAACCTGCCAAGGCCAAATCATGCTGAAATTTTTTGCAAATAATTTTGCAAAGAATAACAGTTTCCATTAAGTCATATGATAAATATATCACACAATTACATTTACACATGTATAGGAATGTAGAACATTGGGAGGGATGAGCCTAAGCTAGCCATGCATGCCATCATTAGATTGTATGGAGTAGATGATACGGTAGGTCATCCTGCACCCCAAGTAATTCCTATACACACTACCTAGAAACAGAAATTACCTAGGTGTTCTATTTAGTGGTATGTGGATTGTGATGTCATTGACCACTTTCACACTGCCTATTATAGTCATCACAGAAACAAGAAGATTCAAGCAATAATTTGCAGGTTGTAATTTGATATGATAATGCAGCAATGGATGTCACTTTTACTACAATAGACCACCCAGAGTGAGAATTGTTTGCGTGGGAAGACTATTACGTTAGTAAGGCATGGTTTACAATGAAATAAATTCCGGCTGCCATTTTGGTTGGCAACTTTCAATGGAGAGCAAATGGGACGACATGAAAACAATCCTGTATTAAGAATTCTGGAGTGAATTTGACCAAATCTTTCACAGGATAACCTTAAAGGTAGCTATTCTTTCTTATAACAAGCACTTTTTAGCTATTGACAGAGCTACTGCAGGTAAGTGAGGCATTTTCTTTGTGCCTCCATTGACTTTCTTAACAAACTTGCCAACCAAAATGGCAGCCAATTATGGCGCTTGGGCAGATACCGTATATAAAATTAATAAAATTCATAGCTTTTGCAATTCTCACTCTGGGTGGTCTATATTCAATAAAAAAACACTAAAAATATAAAGACAAACCAATCTTTGATTTCCTTTGTTGAGGACATTTCCATGTTCTTGATCTCTTCATTGCTGCAGTCCTAAAATAATA